CAGCTTTGGGTGTAGAGGCCGCAGTTAAATATATATATATATCTGGTTACCTGCACAGAACTGTCAAAACCTCTGCATTTCAAATGAACTTAAATGCTAGGTTTGTTAACAACTGAGGAAATGTTCATATTTAAATTAAGTGGCATCTCTTTCATTTCTCTAGCATGCAGGTTGTGTCTATATTACAGTGATGAGGCCGTGGCAGAAAGAGAACATATTTGCTGAAACCACAAGGATCTATAACGACAATACTTAACAAAGTCAAGAGCTCTGCAAGCACCAATCTGCCCTCCCTCCATAAGCACTGTCCCCTTTCCCAAGTATGTCAGTGAGACAGAAGGACAATTCATGGCAACAATTCCAGCAAAGTTATCTTGAGTAAGAACAACAAAAGACAAGAGGATATTTTAAATGAAAACGTCTTAGCTGAAGGGGCTTCCACAGTGAAGTTGAGAGCCAGGCATGCTCTAATGTTGTATCAGTTCACATTTACAGAGTGGCATGAAGCCAACCAGTATTATAATTGCACCATCACCACAGTGTGAGTTGTTTATTCATACATAAAGCTGTAACTGAGTATCCTCTGATGTTTTAGATGCTTCATCTAATTCTAAGTGCATGCACTGACTACATTCTAAATTGTATTTTATAGTATAACCATTTCCAGAAATTACTTTTTTTTCTTGTCTTGAAGAGAATATTGTAGTCTGCTAGATTCTGACTGACTTAAAAAGTAATTCTGACAGTGTCAGGTATAAAGGCATATCAAGTATATAGACGTATAAAGGTATTACAACTTTGAATGGGAAGGAAACAGTAAATTCTATTAGAAAGCCTACAAATGAGCAACAACACATACCTCTTTATTCTGTAAACTACTGTTATTTTAATTACTGCTGCAGCAGAAATCAAGAGACTTTAAATGAGCTAATATTACATCAATAAGCACTTTCACCAGAGCCAATTTGTGTGTTTTTCATTCTCCTTTTCATTGAATAGGGTGCATTTGGGTAAGTCAAGACAAAAAGAATTCTCCTTCATTTTATTTTGCTAGTCTTGAATGAGGGAATACTATCTCGTTCATGTGAAATAATGTCCAAAGCATGGCTCTGACTCAAGTTCGAAGGACAAATTAATGCCAATTAAAGAGACCAGTCATCAGAAACAAATGAAGGATGCTACTCTGCCACGGATTTATAAAAGGCACAAATTTTTGTGGCAGATGAAGTCTTTGGCAATTCTTATTTCCCTATGCAGAAACAAGAAGCTTGAAGAAACTTTGTTCACAAGAGGTAATAATTTCAGCACCTATAAAAAAAAGGCAAGTTCTTCAGGAAAAAAAAAATCATGTTTTGTTAACTTGCACTCCATACAAGACAGTATCAGCTGAAATTGAAATTTCAGAGGAAATAATATTAAACGTGAAATGAAAGCAAGCTGAGAGACCTTCATCCATAAACAGTATTTTTAGACAGTGGTTGGTGTACTTAATAAAATGAAGGAAGAAATAAGAGAGCCTGCAGTCAAGATGACAAAGTACAGACAAGGAGAACATAAAGACTGTCATAATCATATCAAGCTGAAAAAAGAAAGAAGCTAATGAAAACTATTGTTATCAATCTTCATATATTCTGAGGAAAATGAGATCAGTCTTTGTTTTTTTTTTCTTTTAAATTTAAAATAGATCTTTTTTTTCTGAAATTAATATTTGGAAAAGTGATTCTGCTGAAAATCAATAAATATCAGTAAAATCTGAATGGAAAAGATCAACTTGAAAAAGAGACACCTATAAAAGACAGATAACAGACTTCACTGTACTGCAAGACCTGTCACAGTTAAGAGGTTAACTGACAGAAGCAAAACCAGATCAACAGAGGGACTGAGAATCTGATAAAAGGCAGCATGGAATAGAAGAAAAAATCAAACTTGAAAGTATAAAGCAATTACATTACATTTAACCAAAGAATGCTGAAGGGACAGAGAGCAAAATATAGAAGCAAGAGAAAAATATAACTGAACCAGCCTTAGGAATAATTATCATTATTCCAAAAGGAAAGAACTGTAATGAAAATTGAAGAAATAATAATCAAAGGGTTTAACATAATAAAGAGAGAAGAGTGAGTACATATGTAATCAAATCTTGGAACAATCTAAAGTTTACTTATTAGGAGTAGAAGTGTATTAAAAAATTATCTTGATTAACAATTTGATTATGTATGTAAGTCAAGGCTAATTTTGAACAGAAAACCTACATCAGTTTTTATGGTAAAGTCATTCTACATTCCCTGATGGTTGTTGAATTTAATCTTTGTTCTACTGAGATCCCTGACTCATATTAAAATGTTTTATTTAATTTATTTGAGCTCAAATTCACTCTCATCTATCTAAAAGTACTCAGAGAGTTGATTCTATCAATTCTTCCTTTAGCCTTCTTCTTTCAAATTGAAAAAAGCTTTCTGATTATAAATCTGCCTTTTAAAAGTAACCACATAGAGTTTATTACTTTATTTTGAATGCACAATATGATGCCATTCAAAAACCTAGTAAAACCAAATTACTTCTTTCCATCACTCAAACTCCTCTTATAAAATTAGTCATTGCCTAAACTCTGTGATACTCTTCCTGAGAAGTTGATGTAACAAGCAAATTGTAAGAAAGAGATGAAAAATGACCTTCTCCTGTCACTGTGCTTCATATCCAGCAATTTTCTATCCACAAGTACAGAGCAGACATGATATTTTTAAGAGGGACCATTCTTGCAGATGGAGAAAGGAGGGGTGAATCTTAGCATGATCACTCTATCATACATTTGAACAGTTAGGCTATTTCTGGGTTTCTGTTTCCTTCAGTAAGAGCCGTTCCTGGCTGCAATGAGGACTAGTGTCAGTATCAGAGTACTCTTCCAAGGCTCTGTCACAGTGCCCTAGTTCAAAATGTTCCTCAAGCACGCATAGTTGATTCAAACATACAGGGATGAAAGAGGAGAGGCAATTTTAAGAAGCTATATTTGCCAGAACTGGGCTGGAAACTAGAATATGACTTAATTTACACTTATTAGACCCATCCACCTTGACTTCAGCAAGGCTTTTGACATGTTTCCCAGAATAACCCTACTGATGAGCTTAGGAAGTCTGAGCTACACAAGTGGACATTGAGGTGGATTGAGAACTGGATGACTGGCAGAGTGCAGAGGGTTGTGATCAGACGTGCAGAGTCTAGCTGGAGTACTGTAATTAGTGGTGTTCCCCAGGGTTTAGTACTGGGTCCAATCTTGTTCAACATTTTATGAGACTCAACAAGGGCAAGTGTGGAGATCTACACTTGGGGTTGCATCAGTACAAGTTAGGGGCTGATCTACTGGAAAGGAGTTCTGAAGAGGTCCTGGTGAACAACAGGTTGGCCATGCAGCAGCAGTATGTCCTTGTGTCCAAGAAGGCCAAAGATACCCTGGGTTGTTTTGGACCTGATTCAAGGTTGGTCTTTTTTCCTCCTTTTCTCAAAAACAACTTCTGCTGTAATTCCTCACATTAACATACTGCAGGTGATAAAGAGCCTTCCCCTGTTCCCAGTGCAGTCTGGATCAGCCTATGACAAATGCCACAACTGCATTTCCACCCCTGGGGCAGTTGATTCCAGGTGTTATGGACACCTCTCCAAGTAAAAGCAAACTCTGCCTGCATTTCCTCATACCCTCTCCATGGTCATGCAGGTAAAACCACAGGATGGCACATGGTGTGTACTCACTATATCCTTTCTATCAAGCAGAGGAACGCTTATTTCTAAAGGACAGCATTCTCGTTTGTACAGGTGGAGGAGCCATTGAACCAGTTTCTTTTTTTTTGAGTGTCTGAACCAGTTTCTTTACAGGCCTGCAGGGAGGAAGAGAGACTATCTTCACATTGTCAAAGTAGGCTAGTCACTTTATCCACTGTTGGTCTTTCATTATCCTTCCAGTTTGTTCCTGCCAGGGTGCTGGTACAACATAATGGTGCACTCTGTACTACTCTCTACCACATAGGTCACACACATAACAGTGTCATCTGGATCTTGGGAGTTGGTATTATTGTTCAAGTTAATTCCATACATCGTCACTACCACATCTAGCTCCCTTAAGTACTGGATACTTTTCTCCATGGTAGTTCATTTCCATGGATTACATATAAAGTCTTCCTTGAAGGGATGTCTTTCCATCATGGCAGACAAGAGGCACTGCCACAGGATGAAAGGCTGTGACCTTTTTCCAGTTGTTCTGTCAATGCCACTTTCCCAAGAAAGAGATCTGAGCTGCTTGGCTTCACTGCCTGCTAAGTCCAGGCTGCTGCTTACACCAACCCAGCAGTGATGACAGAGCACGTGTCTAGATGACAGCCATAATCTTTTCACAAAACTTGCACCTCACTAAACATTAGGAGTAATATGATTGCTGTCTCTTTCTCCTCCTACTGTTTTTGCAATGGCCCCAGACATTCTGAAGAAAAACAATTCTGTCTTAGTTGAAACTAAGACAAGAACCCCACAGATGTCTTGCAGAAATGTTTTAACATGATGACTGGTTTTATAAATCCTATGAATTTCAAGTAGCATATCTTTCTTGTTACTCCACTTATCAACTTATTATCTGACATAGCACAGCCCTCCTGGCTGACTAGTTACCACCTACCATTTTTCATTATGACCTGCCTTCTGCCTGCCCCAGCACACACTGACACCACATACATGCTAAACACCTTCCTTGTACCACATAGGCTCTCCATAATTCACTGTCAATTTCTTCCGTTCCCAACTCACGTAATCCTTCAAAAAAAAAACCTTCCCGATACTTACATTTCCAAGCACATTTTTTAAACTAGTTCCAGATTGCAGATTAAGTCTCATGCGAAGAAACTGTATGCTGATGAAATAACTCCAGTAATTACTCAGACAGATTACATGCAGAACTAAAAACAGGACCATAACATACCAGGAGGAAATACACAGTATGGTATGTAAAGACAGCTTACCTGTCAAACAGTTCTCCACCTGTGACCAATTCCAGAACAAGGCTGATATCTGTAGGGGTCTCAAATATCTCCTTCAGTTTTATCTGGTAAAAGACAATGAAAATCATAGAATCATCGGATTCATTCTTCATATTTTTCTTCTTGTAGAGCATATCACAGTGCCAGCAGCAAGACACAGACCACAGCTAGTAATGTAGAGGATACCAGCTGAAGTTGGTGTCTCCTTTACCTTGCATTCAAGTAGATTATTGTAAACATTCTCCCAACCTTGCTGGTTTTTGATTTTGTTTGGATTTTTTTTCTTTCCTTTTTTTTTTTTTTTTTATTGTTGTCCTCATACCTCCATAATCTCTGTAGAATACAGCAGTTTTAGAACCTGCTTTCTTTTGTTAACATCCCTCTGTCAATCTTCTACGGTAAGCTGAATTCCCACTGAAGATGGACAAATGCCAAATTTCTCTTATCCTTTACAGAACTCCTTTTGCACAGTTTCTCAGTCAATTCCATGAGAACAGTAATTTAATTTAAAACATACTTCAATGGTCTTTCATAATGAATTGTTAATGAAGACACGAGGAGAAACCAAAGCTTTAACTAAGATTCCTGCAAGTCTATATAAGTGACCTATAGCACAAGTTAACGTGGAGCTCTCAGAAAAATTCTTCTTTTTTTTTTTTTTTTTTGAAGACATGGAGTGAAATGTGACTGAACTTACAATGTTGGGATGAGAGAGGCGAAGAAGAACTCCAATTTCCGTACGAACAATTTTCTTGTCTATCTGGTTGAAAGCATGGGAAAAAATAGGTAAATAACTGATTTCTTTGTTAACCACAGAAAAGTTTATCATAGGAAACTAAGTATGAACAGCAATTCTAGGTCTCTTGGGAGATAACAATGAGGTGACATACATAATTCAAGTATACTGCGTGGAAGTCTTCCTTCATCACAAGACAGATGGTGTAACAGAAAAAAAGATCAGCAACTAGCAAAATGATTGAAAACAAATCATGTGGAAGTAGATATAGGAAAGACATCTAAGTAAACTCCTAACATTCTATTTTTATTAAGTCTCTGCTCTTGTCTACCACTACTTAGGATGGCTCCATTTTTGCCAGAATAGCTTTCTTTTGGCACACTCTCATCACCAGCTGTACTTACAGTTTTCTGCAGGTAGGATGAGCGCACCAAAGCAGAGTACTAAGCTGCTTAGTACAAGAAAGCAACACAAAATTTAAACAGCCCTGAGCCACGGCAGTGCATAAGGTTTGGCTTCAGCTTGCTTCAGACATACCTTACAGACAAGCCTAGTTCTGCACAGACTCTCTCTGATTAAACTATGAGAGGATTAGCTCTTCCCTTCTCAGATTGCTAGGTTTAACAATCCAGGCATAACCTATGCTCTCTTGGGGTAAATTGATCATTTCTCACAAAAAATGCAGACCTGGGCAGTATTTCATTCAGGAAAGACAACTGCAGCTCTTCCTGAATTTGAACACTTAAGCAAGCAAGAAAAACACTTGTAAGAAATTATGCATGCTTTTTATGTTGCTAAGGCAATCAATACACTTATGAAGAAACTATCATGGTTGCAGACATACTGACAAACACAAGATAAATTCTACACTGATGAAAATAAACATTTTTCTTCTACTCCACTCTTCATCTTGGGGATTATGAAATGCATGAGAATCAGCAAGTTAAGTCACCAGCTTTTTCCAAACTGGTAAAACAAATGACATGAAATAGAAAGATTTTGTTTCTTTCTTTTTAGTGGAGACATTACATCAAACATTTCTAGGTTTTGTTGTGGGGTTGCTGGGTTTTTGTTTTGTTCTTCTTTTTTTAACATTATATTGGAAATGAACTATGATACTACTTAAATCGTTCAAAGGAATATAAAATTACCTTCAAGTTCTTAATGACGAAGTCACATGCTTACAAAAAGATCACTAAAACCAGCTATCAGTGATCAGTGAAGTACAGGGCAGGCAGCATTTGATTCTCCCTGAACACATGGAAGTCAGGAACAATGCCAGATACGAGTATAGAGCAAGAGCCCTCAGGATCTATTGAAAGTCATTGACATTTACCTGCTTTTAGCAGCTCTGATAGGGAGCAAAATAAAAGACACAAAAATCAACATTCAATACGTTAAGAGCATCAGAGAAGCAGCAGAAAAGAAAAATAAAGGAGGAACAAAACGCTCCATTCTCCTAATACCTAATGGGAGATAAAGAGTGGTGCTTATATCTAAAATCTTTGCTGGGATCTAATAAAATGCTGTGGCTGCATATGCTGAGGAGTTCCTTCTTGGGCCCAGGATGCCTGTGGGTCAGCACAACTCCTCACCCCTGGGTTACCCACACAGCACAAAGGCACAGTGTCTTGCTCCAATTATAGGAGGGAGAGAAGGTTCTTTAATATATGTGTACCAGATGGCAAGATTAAGACGCAACAGATCAAATGTTAGCCCAAGTTTAGTGAAAATTCTAGTTGCTTAGGGAGGTGGGGAAGGAAAGATGGGTGATAAAAAGGGGAGAGGAAATAAAAGCAAGGAGTCTTTGTAGAAAGCAAGAGAGATAGTCACCACGAGGATTCCTGCCGTTTCCTGTAGTTCAGATGTTTATCTTCAGTAGTGATGGGTTGTTGAAGGTTGTGTTGTTCAGCTGATGACTACTTACACTGACAGTACAAACTTATAATAAGTCCAAACCGGTCAAGTCAGCTCTTTTTGGAATGACAGCTTTTGAATCTCTGCATGAACTCCTTTGTTCCCATCTTCCAGGCCATGCAAGCATATAAGAGCAAGGAGGCACCAACTTGCTTCCCCATCTTCCCAGGATACAACGGTATCATCCCCCAGTCTCCCGTACCAAGCTGGGGTTATTTGGTCACAGGACAGGTCTTCAGCCAGTAAATGCTCCTTGTCATTCCCTTTTGAAGGCAAACATCTTCAAAGAAATGCTTTCAAATGTAGAATTGTCCACAGAGTGATGCTGATTGTCATACAGCGACACCCACGACCTTCTAGATAAGTCTTGTGGCAAGGAATGCCTCAGAGAGTGAGATTTCAGCCAAGAAAAAAGAAGGGTTCAGACACATGGCCAGCAGCTCCGGTGATTCTGGCAGTAACACACAGCTGGGATCTTTTCATGGGCTTCACACCTCAGATCAAATCAGAAAAGTTAACGTGCATGACCACAGGCACAGCTGCTGCTTAGAATGAGCAATTCATCCACTCAAAAAGAGCCCATACAAGTTGAACAATCTGCAGCTTATTTTCTCCAGTTCTGAAAATGTTTGCTCATCATGAATGCCTGGCAGGAGGCATGTAAGAGCCTGTCCAAATCATAAGGATGTTTCCTTTGGCACTAAGTAGGCAGTACTGACCAATGACAAAGGCCCCCGCTGAAGTTGCTAGCAGCAGTAAATTAAGTGAAGCGACTTGAGACTCAGTTTCAGGTAGGGAAGTCCTCTATGATCCAGTGATACAGTTCTCAATCGGACACACATTTTTTCTTTAAGCTTCTTCATACGGTAGTATGAGAAAAAGGTACCCCAAAATTTGAGATACCGAGTTGGAATAGTAAATAGGTCACATATAAATGCTTAGGAGTGCTAAACATTTAGAAGCATCCTAGAAAATGCCTAAAGGAATATATTTTACAATAGAAGCACGCATGTGTAAATGATATGAATAGTTTCAGAGTAAAAACAGCAGCATATATAGTCACAACATTTTAGTAAGAAGAGACTGTTTTTTGAGTGACAGCAGCAAAGATTTACCAACCTGAATTTGGGAGAAAGATGCAGTCCAAGAACACTTAACTGAAATGCCTGTCTTCTCTGCAGTCTGTGTTGTGGCTTTGCTGTGACACCTGAGATTCCCAGACAAATGGTAGCATGTTGCATGCACTCAAAACTGAACTCTTAAGTCCAGCTTATGGAGAGACAGACAGACAGAGGGCTAACAATATTAACAGAGTTACAGTAACAGTATTATTTCACAATTTTGCTCTTTGCTCAAAGCAAAGACCCAGAGAGTTAGGACAATATCTGCCAGCGTGGCTCAGTTAAATTGGATAAATTTATCCAATTTATCAAATTATCCCCTCAAACCCTTACTTTACATTAAACATTTACATTAAAAATATTCCTGGATGTGCTAGTATTTTCTCTCCATTTCCCCCCCACCCCACTTTTCTAGAACTAGGTTGCTGCCTTGTAATAAAGTACTTTATCCTGAAAACAAAGGTGGCCCCTCAGACTTAGTAGAGAGCAAGAAGCAGAGCATATTCCTCATCCTACAAGCCTGATCTTTACTGCCCTCCTTCCCCAGGACCCTGAAGATATAGAGGTGTACATCTGGCCAGCTGTGGTCACCAGGGTGCAGGGTGCCCATGAAGTAACAAAACAGCAAATGCATATGGCTTTTCAGAAACTTCAGAGCACAGTCCACCTCGTGGATGCTGTTTTCCCCAGCTCTGCACAGCTTCTTATTTAATTTCTCTTTTATTGACTCATATGAACACCTCTAACTCATCACTGGCAAATGAATGCTTTATTGAACCAACAGCTCAGGCTCTGAGCAGGTGTTTCCTTGCACTTACAAGGAGCATGCTGCATGACTGGCTTGCCATTACACTCTGCTACATGTGTTTCTAAGAAACAATTTATATGTCCGTCTCAGTTAAAAGAATGCCTCTACTCAGACTTTATGATGTTAATTAATAACTACTCTTCTTAACTACATCATTATTCTTTGTTTGTTTGTTTTCTCCTTAAAAAATATACACAAATACAACTATTCACCAGCAGAGATGCACAGTCACTGGTAGTCTGAAAGAGTGTTTCCGACACTCTAACCTAGCAAAGGGCTGCTAGGTTACCAAGCTTCTTTTGAAAGTTTACAAACATAATGCATGAAGGTTTCTTTCTCTTCTGGAGAAAAACTTTAAAATATACACTTCCTAGTCAGTTGTAGGCTTTATTTTTTAATTTCAGCGTGTCCCAAATAATGGGAATTACAAGATGAACCTTTTGAACAAAAGGATACTAAGGATAATTCTTTGTTCTAATTAGAGTAGTTATTTAACACCTATTTCATGTGATTTGATTCTTTGTGTAATTTTTTTTTGAATGAAAATAAGAGTTCTTGAAATAAAGAATTTGTCCTATGTTTTAGGGGCTGTTCTTGCCGGGTCGTTGCTTGACCTTCTCAGCAGCTTCTTAGCAGCTCTCTCTTTGAAAGGGAGAAACGTTTGTACTTGGACTAATATTATACTTAAAAAAAAAAAAAAAAAAAAAGAATTGATTGAAAATAATATTTTCTGTATTTCAAGCTTAGCAGACTATTCTGTCTCTAACCCTATTGAAGCTGAACACAGGGCCCCTGAAGAACACATCAAACAATACAGTAAAGCATAGTAGTAATTGCACAGTGCTGCAGTATCTTCCATAAAGTCAGCAGGGAGTTCTTACCTTATAGGTTGCTGACAAAGTTTTTGAGCCTCCGTAAGTCTACTCGTATTATTAATGCAAGGAAAACAGACTATTCCTTATTAAATCAAGTATGTTCTGCCTTTAGATACAAGTCCACACTTCCAATTTGTATCTACAATGCTTCAATGGATGCACATTCTTCAGACTGTACACACTTGCATGCAACTACTGCAAGTTAGGTGCCCGGATTTGTCTTTTCAGGATGTTTTATTAGATGCTTAAAGATCTGCTTGTATGCAAATGTGCTGGTTGCAAATGCAGGTCAGATGGGCTTGT